CCAGGAAGTGCCAAGCCTGCGGCAGCTGCATCCACGACCGACGCCCCGCCCCGGGGAAGGCCGGCCCGGACGCCAGGGCCCTCCCGGAGCGCGAAGCTGCCTGCGGGGTGCCGGCGGAGCCCCTCAGCTCTCGGGGCCCGAGCCCCCCCTTCGGGCTCCTCCCTGCCGAGCCGGGGTGCCTCACGGAATGGATCCGGGAAACGCACATCGGAGACTCGGCGCGCCCCGAGGAGGTGGATTCCGCGCTGGACAGCACGGACACCTCGGACAGCTGCAGGACCGACAGTGAGGAGGCTGGGACCTCGCAGCCCAGTAGGGCTCGGGGGCCAGCCCGAGGCAACAGCCCCCGTCCGCGGGGCTCCAGGCCTCGAGGAGGCCCCAGGTGGTTCCGGAAGGCGGAGCTGCCCGGGAGCCCTCAGGCCCCGCACTACCTGCTGGGGGTTGACCACGTGGAGGGTGCAGCCGAGGTGAAAGAAGGCAGGGGACACCTGCCTGAGGGGACTCTGGTTCGCAGAGAAGAGGCTTTCGCTAAGCCTCCCGTCCTGGAACGTAAAAGGGCTTCCCTGGGCTCCCAGTGGCAGCCTGGCCCAGGGCTGGGAAATCACTGGGTCCACCCGGTGGATTCCCGGGCTCTGAGCAGGACAGCCTATCCCCTGGCCTCTTCCATGATGCTGGGGTCCTCGGCGCCAGGCAGACAGGCCCAGGATGGAGGAAGCCATGAGTCTCTGGAGACTGTCTCTGCTTCCTCCCTGCAACAGAGTCACGCAGAGCCCTCTGCCCTGCACCAGGCCCAGCAGCTGACCTCTTCCCTCTCCCCCGAAGGCTGGGTGCCAACCCCTCCATCTTCAAGGAAAACCACCTCACCTGTGTCTCACAGGAAGGCAGCCCTGGCTGCACCCCGCAGGCTGGGTGAGCAGGGAGAGCCTGTGGACCCACCTCCGCCTCCTTCAAGAAGTGTAGTTCCCAGGACCTGTGAGCTCTCCCCGGCCCAGACCCAGCCCTACGGCCCTGCAGGCAGGCATCCCCAGCTGGCCCTGTCCACCAATAACTGCAGCAATAGCCTGCCTCTGGGGCTGCAGGAGCCCTGGGGAGGGGCCGGCCTCGAGGCCAAGGTGGAGGATGGCCCCTGCAGCCAGGAGCTGCCCCCGGAGAACCGCGGCCACGGTAAGCAGAGTCCCCAGGCCAGGCGCTCTGAGTCCTTCCTTACCTTTGATCTGAATCGATGACATAGCTGTGCACACTCCCGGCAGCTTCTTGGGGCCCCTCAGAGCAGCGGCAGGTGTTCTGGAAGCTATGGGGTCTGTGGGTTGGGTGTAAGACTCAACGTCAGCCTGGATACGGGTTAGCCACCTCCTGCGAGGGGAGGCAGAAGGCAGGGAGGAAGGGGGTGACGCCCTCTGACTGCGGGGGACCCTGAGGTGTGTACAGAAGCACTATACTCTGGCTGCTGGAGGCCGGGACTTTAACGGGGTTTCACTACCAACAGAGCAGGAAGGAGGCCACAGCTGTAGATTTACAATTTGCTTAGAGCAGTCAGTGCCTATAATCACATGGTTGAGACCCTTTCCTTCAACATCTTCATTTCATTCATTCCCTAATTCATTCGTTCAACACTGATTGAGCACCTGTTACATGCCAGGCATGATACCAGGCACTGTGGGGAATGCATAAGTGAATGAATTCAGCGGGAGTCCTGCCCTTGAGACCTTCTGTGGCCAGGCAGACGTGCTATCTGGAGAACACGGTGACCAGCAGGCAGAGCCCTCCCAGACCCCCAGCCCTCCTGGGCAGGCTCCTAGGTTTCAGCAGGAAGGGCTGCAAACGGGTGTAGGGCATCACCTCCGCCGTTGGAAGAGATCCTTATATTGTGGGCCGATCCCGGGCATCAGTGGTCATAGGCTCTGATTCCTGGTGCTGTGATCTGGGGTGAGCAGCTCAGCCGTTCGCTCTTAGGCAGAGATAACAGGTCTGCCCCCCATAGCCTTGCCTTAGTGTGTCCACGACTGTGACAGTGCTGGGGTTGGGGTGGCTTGGGAGAGATCCAGGGCTTGGAAACACAGTGGAGGAGAGCAGAGAGCTGGTAGACCAGGCTGACCTTCCTGAAGATGTGGATGCCAAGCACCCTCCCCCGGTGTGTTGGCCGACCCCTCTGCTCCACACGGGGACACAGACATTTCCCCTCTCCCTCCCTTGCTGACAGGAGCCTTAAGAAAGCAGGCATTACCCTGAGCTGCCTGCTGCCTGCCCGGTTCTAAGGTGTGGTTTCTTCCGTGGGGTGGGCTCTAGGCCGGCTGCTGGCTGCCCCGAGCCACTTCCTGAGGAGCTTCTATTCTACCAGCTGCTGGCCTTTCTGGGCAGCCTGGCCTTCACCTCCTCAGACTCCTCCTCTCATTAGCCAGGAGGTCCTGGCCACACCATGTCAGCCCTCTGTGCTCCAGGTTCCTCCTCTGTAACCTGGGGAAATAGGAGAGCCTATAGCCTATCTCCTAGGAACCCACGACGTCATCTCTGTAGAGGGTTTAATTCCTTGCCTAGCACCGCATACGTGCTCCCGAAATGGTGCTTGTCATTAACGCTTAGACATCACAACCAACGAGACTGTGGTTTGCATCCCAGGAATGCAAAAGTTCCCCTTTCCCAACTATGTCTCTTGTTATAGGAGGCACATGACTTATCACCAGCAGCCCCTTCATCGTACAGACATTTATTAATCACCGACTGTGTACCAGTTGCGGTGCTGGGGGTGGTGGGTCACAGCAGTAAACAAGACCCCTCATTCCCGTCCTGCTGTATGGGAGTCTCATCACTGCCTCCGCTGCTCTCCTGGGGCTCCCGCCTCTCTCCAGCTTCCTCTGGTTCTCCTGCCTCTGTTGTTGGGCATGTCCCCTCCCCTGACCATGACCTGCGGGGATGGCTCAGTGACACGGGAGGGCTGTGGCTGTTGCAGGAGGAGTCCAGGGCTTTCTTGGCCCAGCAGCTGTTGGCGCAGTCAGCTCCGTGAGCATCACCCTCTCCCTGGCCTTAGAGGAGTCGGAGTCCAGCCAGGAACCAGAGGGAGGCCTGCAGAGGCCAGGGTTGAGTTCCGGAGGGCAGGTGTCATCCCGGTGAGTGATGAGGGCAAGAGCCCTGACTGCCAGAGGTGGGGGGCTGGGAGGCTGGGCGGAGAAAGAGACCCCCTCCCTGGCATGACTAGCCTCACTACTCCCAAACCCTTAGAGGGTTCCTAGACCTATTCCGGGCATGGCACCTTAATACTCCTTTCCCAGCCACTTTTCCTGTGATGCGCATGCTGTCTCATTCCCCAAGCCTCAGGCTCCAGGTGCTGTTCCGGGCACAGCTGGCCAGACAGTCCCGACCCTCAGGGCGCTCCCAGGATGGGGCTGCCTGAGAGTGCTTGTTTCTGACTCAGGGCTTGGGAACAAGCAGACGCTGAGGAAACAAGCCTGGCATTCACCTTTCCATTCATTCTCTCCTTCCGCGCCGAGGGTCTGAGTCTTCGCCGAGTCCCCAAAGCCTTGGTGAGCCAGGGCTGTGGCCACGACGTTCTTTCCTGCACCACACCCCACTCCTGGTGACACCGGGAGCCAAATCTCCATCTCTGGTGCTGTGTGCTCCCCAGAACCCCAGACCCATACACCCTGTTTCCCCTGACTTCTCCACTAGGGTGGCTGAGAGGCCCCTGACCCAACGGCTTCTCCCCAGGTCCTCTTCCCGGCACCATCCACCATCCACACGGTGCTCACGCCCACTTTCTTCCTTCCGGCCTCTCTGACCCCCTGGCATGTCCCCTCCAGCTGCTGCATCCCCCCTCTCTCGCCTTTCTCCTGGTCTGAGCTGCATGACATCTTTCTGACAACCCCAACAGCCCCGGCGACTCTCTGCCTTCACTCTCGCTCCTACACTTCCTTCTCGGCACAGCGACCGAAGGTACATTCTTGAAAATGCCATTAAATAATGTCATGTCTCCTGCTGAAAACCCCCAGTGGCTTTCTTCTCCCACTTGGGATAGAATCCGAGCCCCTTACCTTGGCTTCTGTGCTCCGTGGAATCCGGCCCACCTGCCTGGCCTCTCTGCCCGCCTTGCTGGCTCCGTCCCAGGGCTGGTGGCCGGGCCCCCTCGTGCTCTGGAACACACGGAGCCTCTTCCTGCCCTGGAGCTGTGGCCCCACCGTTGCCTCCGCCTGGGGTTCTCACCTCTGGCCTCGCAGGACGGCTCCTCCTTACCATTCAGCTCCCAGCCTGGGTGCCATCTTCTCGGAGGGAGCTGATCTCCCTCTCCCTCTGCTTGACATTTCTCAATACTTGCTGTTGGTTTTTCTCCTTCGTTTACTAGTCTGAGAGTAAGGACCTTGTCTGTCTTGTGTACCACGGACCCCTGTTGTTTCTAGAAGGCACAGAGGCCCGGAAGAAATCCTGAATGAATGAATGGAATGAATGGGTGGGTGAGCCCACAGTTGGGTGTGAGGCCCGGGGTCTCGTCTGAGCGCGTCTCCCGAAAAGCTGCCCAAGCAGAGCATCCTGCAGATATCCTCTCAGCCTTTCTGTAGCCGGCCGTCATGTCCTCCACAAGGAATGGGTGCTGGCTCTCCTGGGGCCCCCAGGGCCCTGGGGAGCAGTCCGCCCAGGCCCCTGCGCCCCAGCCGTCTCCTGCCCGCTCATGTACCCCCTTGCATTTCAGGGCATTCCCAGGGGTCAGCGCAGGACCTGGCCCGCCCTCCACTGCCCCTTCTGACAGGAGCAAGAAAAGCAGCAGCCTGGCCTCCACCCTGGGGCTGAAAAAGCTCTTGCTGGCGCTGGGCCACAGCGCCAGGCCCAAGCTGGGCAAGGCCCGCAGCTACAGCATGGAGCAGCTTCAGTCCCCTGCGCCTGGCCCGGCGTCACACGCCAGCACCCCCAGAGTGAAGAAAGCCCCGTCGGTACAGTCCCTGCAACTGGTGAGTCTGAAGGGCCCCGGCCAAGGGGTGAGCGGCACCAGTGCCACTGGAATGGAAGGTGACAGGAGATGGGAAGCGCTGGGGATGCCACCTGAGGAGCCCAGGTGGGGAAAGGGAAGCCACTGGTCTCCCCGCAGTTGATCCACGAGACCGGGCTCCCCACAGGGGTAGGCAGCACCCCACAGTTCTCTTCTTCCACCCAGCTACCCCATCATGGGCTCTTCCTAAGCTCCTCCTCCTCCTTCTGTCTCTCCCTCAACTCTGCCACCTCTGCCAAGTCCTAGAGGCTACTGCCTGATCATTCTGGAACCTTCTGCATGGCCACAGTGACTCTGTTAGTCTAGCACAGATCACTTCACACCCAGACTAACGCGGCAGCCTCCTGACTGGCATCCCTGCCGTGTCTTTCTCCGCCTGGCTTCCACGGAGGTCCTTCTGATACGCAGATCTGGTTATCTACCCCCTTGCTGAACATCCGCCGTTGGCCCCTTATCACCCACAGGGTAAAGTTCAGATCACCTGACGGGGCCAGAGGCTTCTGTGATCTGCCTTCATCTCTCATCACTCTCCTTCCAACACCCTATCCGTTATCCTTGACCTTGCTGTTCTGTCATCAGGCCACACACTGACTTTGAACCTTCACCTGAAATGTTTCTCGCACCTTCTCTCCCTGCTAACATCTGCTCATCCTTCAAGTTTTCAGGAATTGCCTCCTCCATGGAGCCGTTTCTGGTCCTTTCTTGGGCTGAGCTGGGGGGCCTCTGCTCTGTGTTCCCATCCTGTCCTGTGCTTCCATCCTTTGGGGAACTTGCCACATAGTATTTTAATGGATTTTTGTCTGCCTGCCCTCACTGGAGTGTGAATTCTTTGAGGGAACACCCCTTGATCTTTATATTCCCAGTACAGTTTCCCCTGCTGTCCAAATTAGAGAGTTTCTACGAAAACTTCCATCAGCCAAAATGGCATAAACTGAAGAAGCAGTCACCGTTAGTTAATATGGGAAATTTTTTGAACACTCCCAGACCCCCTATTTTGGGCTCTTCTCTCGGGCTTTTCTGATCCCCCAGGACACCTCTTGCCGACGGATGCACACATAAATCGAGATAGAGCACGGACACTCACAGATGCAGTTCAAAGCTGTAGTGGCTTGATGTGAAAATGCTGAGCGTCTTCCTGGGGAAGGAGCTTGGTGGGGCCACGCTCACTGCCTGGGATCCGCTGCTCCCTGACGGCAAAACTAATGCTGAATGCTAGTTTTGCTTTTCACCTTTTTTCCTAAAAGTGAAAATCTTCCAAATTTCTTCCGGTTAGTGAAAACAGGTCTTTCATAAAGGCAAACGTTTGAAAAGTGGGGGATACCCGTACTGAGTACAATGGCTAGTATATAATACATATTTAAGACACAGCGAATGAACAAATGAGTGAGGGAGGGAGCGAATGAATGCAGGGCAGCTAGCGGGCCATCTCCCTCCCCGTGTCCAGCTCATAAACCAACAGCAAACCCACAGTGCGCTCTCAACTAGGTTTCTGAAAACCCTGCTCTGTCCCAGGTGTGTCCAGGGCTCCAGTTTGTTCTTTTGTTCCCTGCCCCCTGCCCCTGGGCAGAACAAAGCAGGTGATGTGGTTGGGGCCAACAGAGGCTTCCACTGGTCAGGCTGAAGTAGGGGAGAGAGGGCCGGCCGAGTGAAGATGGCTAGTGGTTGTCCTGTACCAGGAGCAGTGCCTTGTATGTAGTCGGTGCTCAATACCTATTTGCTGGATGCATGAATGGAAGGCAAGGAAACAGAAGTCAAGTGATCATAAGCTGGGGAGAAAAGCCTAGGGCGATGCTGTGCTCCAGGAAGTCACCTTTCCCCGGAAGTGAGGTTTGGGCCCTGGGTGTCGGAGCCGGGCGTCCGGGTGGGTCACCGTCAGAACTCCAAGCTCCGTAAGCCCCCCAAGGGCAAGGACGCCGCTAGCCTGGCATAGAGACTGTCGGCGACGCAAGCCGAGTGAGTGGGCAAAGAGAGAGAGCAAGCTGGCCAACCAAGGGTGGGACCACGTGCGGGGAGGACAGAGCAGCAGAGAGAACGGCTCAAGGACTGACGAAAGACGATGCAATGAGAATCCGTCTCCCCCGGAACGTGACACCTCGGATGGGGGGCTCCCTCCTTTAGACCGGCTCCCCTTGCCTTAGACTCTCCCGCCGCCACGTGTGGGCAGGAGCCGCCCCGGTTTCCTTTTCATTTTGCCCTCCTGCGTGGGCCCTGTTCCCACACCCGACCACACTGGGCTCCCGCGTCCCCGGGCGGCTGTGGCTTTTTGACATTTGACCCCGCATCTGGAACGCTCTCCTCTCTCTCTTCTCCCTGGGGAACGCCCCCTGGTCTTTCAGGTCTGAGGTAAGCATGACTTCTCCCAGGAAGCCTTCCTGAACTTGGACACGAGGTTAGGGCCCCCTCTAAATCTCTTGATAATATACCTTATTTCTTCTTCTTTTTTTTTTTTTATATTTTATTTATTTATTTGAGAGAGAGAAAGAGAGCGCACAAGCAGGGGTGAGGGGCAGAGAGAGCGGGAGAAGCAGGCTCCCTGCTGAGCAGGGAGCCCAATATGGGGGCTCAATCCCAGGATCCTGGGATCATGACCTGAGCCGAAGGCAGACGCTTACCCGACTGAGCCCCCCAGGCGCCCGGATAATGTACCTTTCTTCTTGAGAGCATGGATTCCAAATGTGGTAAATAATGTGTGCCATGTTTGTTTAAAAGCCTGTCTCCTTCTCCACTGCCCCCACCCTCACAATAGCCCCCTCACTGGGTCAGTTTCTAGAACACAGATCTATTTTTGTCTCTCTTCTGATTAACATCATTCCAGTGGCTCCTTAGCAGGCCATATAAGGTCCTTCCAGGTCTGTCCCCTGGCTCCAGCCCATCTCCTGTCTGCAGCCTAACCATCCAAACCCTGTTCCGGAACATATGCTTTCTGTCATCTCTCCATGTCCTTGCACCTGCTGTTTCTTCTACCTGGAGCACCCTTACTGGTCTTCACCTGGAAAGTTCATGCTTCAAGCCTCACTCAGGTGTCATTTTCTGCAGTGTCCCCAGACCTCCTAAACTGGAGTCTCTCTCTGCTTCCCTGCACGTCCATCTTTTAGCCTGGCACTTACAGCAAGTATTTAGGGCTGTTAACTCATCTGTGCTCAACCCCACCCCCAGTGGTGGGTGAACTCCTTAAGGGATTTTTGTCTTGTCTACCTTTTTATGCACAATGTTTTAAGGTGCATACTGAGATAATTCTTTTAAATTCCAGTATAGTTAACATACAGAGTTATATTAGTTTCAGGTGCACAATATAGTAATTCAACAATTCTATACATTACTCAGTGCTCATCAAGATAAGTGTGCTCTTAATCCCCTTCACCTACTTCATCCATCCCCCCACCCCCTTCCCTCTGGAAACCATCAGTTTGTTCTCTATAATGTAGAGTCTGTTTTTTGGTTTGTCTTTTTGTTTATTTGTTTGGTTTCTTAAATTCCACATGTGAATGAAATGATATGATATTTGTCTTTCTCTGACTGATTTGACTTAGCATTATACTCTCTAGATCCATCGATGTTGTTGCAAATAACAAGATTTCATTCTTTTTTATAGCTGAGTAATATTCTGTTGTGTATATGTCACATCTAATTTATCCATTCGTCTGTCGATGGACACGGGGACTGCTTCCATAATTTGGCTATTGTAAATAATGCTACAGTGAACATAGGGGTGTGTGTTTCTTTTTGAATTAGTGTTTTCATTTCCGCTGGGTAAATATCTAGCAGTGGAATTGCTGGGTAATTCTATTTTTCCTCTTCTATTTTTTGGATTAGTTTGAGAAGAATAGGCATTAATTCTTCTTTAAATGTTTGGTAGGATTCACCTGTAAAGCTGTCTGGTCCGGACTTTTATTGGGAATCTTTTGATTACTGATTCAATTTAATTGCTGGTAATCAGTCTGTTCAAGTTTTCTATTTCTCCCTGATTCTGTTTTGGAAGGTTATATGTTTTAGGAATTTATCTATTTCTTCTAGGTTGTCCAGTTTGTTGTCATATAGTTTTCCATACTATTCTCTTATAATCCTTTGTATTTCTGTGGGGTCAGTTATTTCTCCTCTTTCATTTCTGATTTTATTTGAATCCCCCCCCCTTTTTTTCTTGGTGAGTCTGGCTTAAAGGTTTATTGGTTTTGTTGATCTTCTCAAAGAACCAGCTCCTGGTTTCACTGATCTGTTTTATTGGTTTTTTAGTTTCTATTTCATTTATTTCTGCTCTAATATTAATTATTTCCTTCCTTCTACTGGTTTTGGGTTTTGTTTGTTCTTTTTTCTAGCTCCTGTAGATACAAGGTTAGGTCGTTTATTTGAGATTTTTCTGGCTTCTTGAGGTAGGCCTGTCTTCCTATAAATTTCTCCCTTAGAACAGCTTTTGCTGCATCCCAAAGATTTTGGACCATTGTGTTTTCATTTTCATTTGTCTCCATGTATTTTTCAATTTCCTCTTTGATTTCTTTTTTTAAATTTTTTTAAAAGGTTTTTTT